ATTGACTTTTTTCAGAATCGAAATGTTGCAACAATTGCTGTTGCCTCATGGAAATCCCAGATTTTGGCTAACACTTAGTTTGATAGTCTAGCCGTTGTCAAATGTGTTCTTTTAGAAAGATCAACTTTGAGGACAATTTCACTGAACGACCAATTTTTAAAAGTCATTCTGTTGAAGCAAGCTGCTGACGAAAATAACATCGTGTCATGTTTGCTTAATTTTTCAGAAGATAGCTGACTTTAGCAAAGCTGACCTACACATGACTTAATTTATTCGAAGAGATCCCAACCAGTAAACATGCCCAGCTGACATGACTAGAAGTATATAAGTAGCGGTGCTAGCAATTCAACCTTTATCAGCAATAAACGTACAGGATAGTCGTCGTTGGAAGACATAACGGAGAACGTTCAGCCTATCGAAGCAACGGAGACTGACTTCTTCTTTGAAAGGAGCACTTCTTACACTTCCGATCGTTCAACACGAAGCCCCCTGTTTTCCCCAAGTAGGTTAGACTTCTCCTCGCTTTTTTTCCTTTTTTTTCAAACCTGATTTGGAATACTACTGTACTTTTGTCAATTAGGGAGAATAAACTGGCATATTTCAGGCCATGTAGCGCCGTCTCACGCAGGCTGGTTAAAAGCCTCCGCTTGGGTAGCGTCTAAGCTGTCGCGTTCCTGCAGAAGACAAGCTGCTACTAAATTTCCTGAAAGAATTCGTTTTCTCAAACACATAGCTTAACTTTCTTGGTAAGTTCGCTGTACTTTCCATTAAATCAAAATATAACCGATAATGAGATAAATCTTCTCTCCATGTCACATAAAAGTATAATCCAGTAAAGATAGGATATTCCGTCGGCCTTTTTTTTACATTTTCATACAATAAAATATACATCAACATCTTTTTCTGCAAAAAATTGTGAAGAAGATTCACATTATGTTGCAAAAAATGGTGATTTTTAAATTGTCAAGACCTCTTCAAGGATTCCTTTTTCCTTTCTTTTTTGCAACTCAAATAAATCCTTGTCCTTCCCTCCCCCTTCCTCATTGCCTCCTCCCTCCAACTTTTCTTTCTCTTTGAAAGTTGAGGAGTCGTTCTGAAGGTTAGTTGTGCTGCCTGTTAACTTCCTCATACCTCCTTCCCCCCACTCGTCTCCCCCTCCTCCTCTCCCCAATCCCCTTCCCTTTGCATGTCTCCCAAATGACGGACTCAAAAAACATTCACCAATCAAAGTTTCAAGTTTAGAGTAATTTAATTTTTGTGAAAAAAAACAACTCATACCATCAATTTTACAACTACTTTTCTTATAAATAGTTTCATAAACAATATTATAGCTATGCCCTCTTATACTACCATGTTAATTCTAATGGAGTTTCAAGATTATTGCTAGGTTTCGTCTCATCTAATAACTTGCAATTCCAAGACAGCGGTTGGATTGTGTCCGCTGCGTGAGTTTTTTTTCCCATTATTTTCATTCAGAATGACAGCACATTCAGTAGAAAGTTTCTGTGTGGCTATAATCCCTATGGGGATACTTGAGAGAAACAGTAATTTTTAAAGTTTTCAAGATTATTGTTTTCGTCTAGCAATGCTATCTTTAGACTTTGGAAAAGCCTTTGTGACTGCCCTTGAAGTTTTTCTTTAGATGCGCCTTTCAAAATCCTTCTTGCAAAGCTATACAGCATCTATTCTTGGCTAGTTTATGATTTGCCTAAGGATGCGCAGATCTCTTTTCCCCTTCGGAAATATCATTCTGTTAAAAGCATGCTTAATGCTTGAATTTTTAGATGCATTCATCATGAGCTCTTAAATCTCCGAAAAGTCAGCTTGAGCTAGTCACATTAATCCAGTCCAGTCTCATAAAACTTCAAACCCTGAAAATAATCTCGGTTTAGACATGTGCGGTACCGATTTTCCGCATTTGCTCGTCTCCTCAAGAGGTCGCAGGTGATTTTTGGTAGTGTCATGTGTTCAGTTAAACTTTCTAGCCAGCTCTCGTGTCGTTTGAGTTGAATCCGTCTCGACTATCTCCTTTAATTCACGGTCATCGCGGAGACGTCTTCTAAGGTCTCGTCTCCATTCCGAAAACGTTAACCACTTCTGGACCTGTCATTCACTTACTATT